CACAGGGCCAGGGGGCTGTTTTCTATTTGAACTATTTACTGGGTGGGGACTGGCTCTCAATGTTTACAGATGGGTCCTGGTACAAAAATGGTTGAGAACCACTGATTTAGGTCATCCTGAGGTCCTTTGCAAACCTACTATTGTATGACTCTGATTTGCATAGCTGTTTTAAGGGGGGAAAGCAGAATAGGCTAGATAATGAGGGCATTGCTGAGTTTGATGTGTTCTAGGTACTGGTTTAATCTTAATGTTGTTGTATTTTTACCTTGCATACAAAGTACATAAGGTAAAATCTTGGCTTCTCTGAAATCAGTGGAGTTTTGCTATTAACTTCAATGACATGAGATTTCACCTGATAAATCTTAAAAATGTAATAAAAATGAAAATATAGAAATTAATGTTTCTTCACATAGTTCTGTGGTGCTGTTTGACCTGACACAAATAAAATCATATGATTCAGGTAACCAACTGCACACTTTGAAGCATGATTTCCAAGAACATAGAGCTTGCAGAAGGATTTTTTTAAAACTACTTTGTGATCTGAAAACAGTGCAAAATAGCTATACATACAAATAGCAATTTTCTTTTCAACAATTCTTGAAGGAAAAAAAAAAGTGAAATTAATTGGGTTAAATTCTGCAGGAAATAATTTAGCCTGCTTTCTAATTAACCTATAGTTAGACTAGGAAAACAAAATAAAAATCTGTCTATGGTAAAATCTTCTGTTTGCTCTTCCTTCCTTGTTAAAATGCACAGAGATAATTTTTATTGGTAGCAATTTGGTTTTAGTGGATAACCAACAATTTATTATGAAATTCATGCCATATTGCTTTTCCAGCTTGTGGAAACCTACTTCTTTCATGCATAGCACTTTTTAATTTATCACCTCTTGAGAGCACTTAAGCAACTGTGATTCAATTAAATCCATGTTCAATGGCTCTGCCTGTGTTTCACACTTGGCTGATAAAAGAAAAGGATGGTATATGTTACAATTATTGATTGACTTCTGTTTATTTATGGTTTCAACTGAAAAGTCTTTAATGATCACTTTAATTTTGTGTGTGTGTAGAGTGCTGATCAAATAGAATACAGCCCCAAGTACAATCCATATTGAGAAGAGTTACATACTTTGCTTGAACTTTTTATTTGTTTATGTTAGTGATTTTGGAGCTCACAAAAGGATGCCAGACTGTGGCAATTTTGATTTATAAAAAGAAGAAAAAAAAAATAGTCCTTTCTTTCTGTCAATAACAGAATCAATTTGAGTGTGGGCAGTGGAAACTTCCTTAAACCACAAAATACCTCATAGTCTTCAGAAAGAAACGGAACCATCTCCTCTAATATAGCACTCCTTTACCAATAGACCTCATGCCACAATGTTCACTAGTTTTATTTGGCAGTCAAATAAGTTGGCCCCCCCGGCAAGTGCCATTTTGATCCCTATCCTCCAAAGGAATACCTGATAATTTGTGCCTAATGCTCACATGCT